AGTGAATTCATTGCCTTCAGACTGACCTATAACAAGCCCTGGTGGTGCAGTGGTTTAGCACTTAGCTGCTAACCAAAAGGTTACAGTTCAAACCTACCCAGCAGCTCTGTGAGAGAAAGACTTGGTGACTTCCTCCTGTAAAGATTACAGCCTAGGAAGCCCTGGGGGGCAGCTCCATTCTGTCATTCAGGGTCCAATCAGGGTCTCGATGAGTTGGAATCAACTCAATGGCGCCCACCACCACCACCAACGGACTGAACTATGCCAGCGACAACAGGTGATTGTAAGAACGTCTTTAAAACTCAGAAATCTGTTTAATACCAACTCACCAGGTGGCAAAACCATCCCTGGAAGTGACAGTAAAAATACTTGTTGATGGCACAGACCAAGGTGTTGTATTAGACAGAAGTGACTGCAACCCAGCAGGAGGTTTCTTCTTGGAGCGATGAAAACGTTCTAAAATGAAACTGTGATAATGGTCGCACAAAAGCCCTGGTGGCACACTGGTTAAGAGCTACGGCTGGTAACCAAAAGGTCAGCAGTTCGAATCTACCAGCTGCTCCTTGGAAACCCTATGTGGCAGTTCCACTCTGTCCTATAGGGTCACTATGAGTCAGAATCCACTTGACGGCAACTGTTTTTTTTTTTTTAAATGGTTGCACAACTCTGTAAATATATCAGTAATCACTGCATAGACGATTTTATGAGATGTAAATTGTAACGCAATAAAGCTTTAAAAACTATATCATTTCCTTTTCTCAAGGCAGTCACAGTTTTTCAGAGCAACCAAAGCAAATTTGCTCTTAGATGAAATTTTCATCTCATCTGAAAGGCAGATTCAAAGCCAATATCCTTAAAAATCAGCCCAGGATATCTAAACTCTGAAAATGACTCATATTTCTATCCGGTGATCAGTAAAGAGGACAGGAAGTCACCTCCTAAGTTCTTCCCTGGAGGTGAAGGGACACAGGGAGGGAAGCACTTCAGTCAGGTCATGGAACCTCTTCCAAATGGAATGCTGGGAGAGATTTTAATCACCAACCACTGAGACAAGTTATAAAAGTAATCACATTAAAAACAACAACACTAAATATGCCTTATTCTCTGTCCTTCTCTCCCCAGGGGGGAATAAAACACCTAGAACTTTTTTTCAAAACAAGAAACAGGAAAGCCTAGAAATCGGAAGGAAGGGCCAATTAAAAAAACAGTCACGGCTTTTTTTTTTAATGAACGGCTTTTTTTTTTAATGAACCACGCTGCAGCACCATTATTTTACGCGTAGTCAAGGGCAGATAGTTAAATGATGAGTCTCAGGGATCTGACCTCTATAGGAGAGGAGTAAAGAAGAGCTTGAAATGACTTTTTAAAAATCACCATAAGATTGAAATCAATGACTTCAGAGTAGGGTGATTATTCTGGTTTGCCTAGGGCAGTCCTGGCTCCAGCCCTCCCGTCACTCTCAGCCCTTTTCTGATTTGAATAACGAATGATGTGTTCACCCTACCTGGGGGTAGGATGGATTGGGCTGAGGCTGACTGCCAGGCAACATGTATCAGCTTGGCCTGGGCACTGCCAACAGATTACTGACCAGAGAGAGGTCCTCTAGCCAAGGATAAGACCCACTGACCAGGGAGCCCACCCTCAGAGTCATGGAGGGATCTGAGGGACTAGACTGTCCAGCAGAACACACGTTAGAATCACCTGGGGATGTTTGTTTTTTCTTAAAGACTCAAGCCTCCCTCCCCAGGGATATTCTGATACGCATGCCTGATTAATAAAGCCTCATCTTGTCCATCCAACTACGTTTTATGTAGCTGATAGTTTTACATAGGGATGATAGTGACGCAAAGGATCGTTCTACGGTGACCTGCTTGAGTTAACTTGGCTGGAGTGGCACAGCCAGTACAATAGCCCCACTCTCCCAATTTCTAGTGCCGCCTCGGACCCAAGTCTGACTTTCAGGCTCAGACCCATGCTGTGCTGATACAACAGCCACCTCCTTTGACAGCTTTCCTCATCAAGTCCCCAAATCTCCCAATTCCAATACAGTGTCCACCCATCTGTTAAACAGACCTTCCCCTGGGCCCAGCCTGGCTTCTACGTGTGTTTGTCTTTGTGCTTTCACGGATGCTATGTGAGCTGTGTATGTGTAAGAGGGGGGAGGCGAAACTGGACAGCACAAATGGGGGCTTCGAATGTTAAGGGTCCTGTTATGGATTGAATCATGTCCCCCAAAAATGTGTGTCAACTTGACTAGGCCATGATTCCCAGTATTGTGTGGCTGTCCACCATTTTGTGATCGGATGTGATTATACCATGTGTTGTAAATCCTAACCTCTATGATGTTAATGGAAGAGCCCCGGTGGTGCAGTGGTTAAAGTAATCAACTGCTAATCGATAGGTCAGCAGTTCAAAACCACCAGCTTCTCCGTGGGAGAAAGATGTGGCAGTCTGCTTCCATAGAGATTTACAGCCTTGGAAACCTTATGGGGTTGCTATGAGTCCAAATGGAGTCAAAGCTAGTGGGTTATGATGTTAACGAGGCAAGATTAGCAGCAGTTATGTTAACAAGGCAGGACTCAATCTACAGGATTAGGCTGTATCTTGAGTCAATCAATTCTGAGATATAAAAGAGAGAATCAAGCAGAGAAGAGAGGGACCTCATTACCACCAAGCAAAAAGAACCAGGAAAGGAATGCATCCTTTGGACCTGGGGTCCCTGTGCTGAGAAGCTCCTAGACCAGGGGAAGACTGATGACAAGGACCTTCCTCTAGAGACGACAGAGACAGAAAGCCTTCTCCTGGAGCTGGCATTCTAAATTTGTATTTCTAGCCTCCTAGACTGTGAGAGAATAAACTTCTGTTTGTTAAAGTCATCCACTTGTGGTATTTCTGTTATAGCAGCACTAGATGACTAAGATAGGTACTTTTATATAAATGGTCACACAAAGAATTTAGCCTCCATACTAAAAAGTGGCCACTTCCAAGAAAAGTCTTGCTAGAAATGAGAAAGTTTCCTATTCAGAAAATATTCCTTCATTTAGAGCACAGAACTATACTCCAAACCTATCATCCATTTTATGAGTCATTTTCTTGACCTATCTTAAAATGAAACCATTCAGATGATATCTTATTTATCTAGTGCTGCTGTAACACAAAAACGACAAGTGGATAGCTTTAACAAACAGAAATTTATTTTCTCACACTTCCATCCATAACACATGGCTAGGTCAAAAGTAGTTTGATCCCTAACAGCATTCCTTCCGGCATCTAGATGGATGTCTGCAACAACGTGCCTCTGATTACCCAACTTTAAAGGTGCTTGTTCATTTAGGCTCAGTAAAATGCGAGAGAGAGAAGCTGAAAAGGTTGGTATAAATGTGGTCTTTCTGTGACCAGACGAGCAGCCCACGGGAAAACACTGATAAAGCTCAGTGCCACTGTGGTTTCTTGTGCAAATGGGTTTCATAACTCCTACTTGTATGTCCCCTCTTAAATGGCTAACATCTCTTCTGGCTGAGGAAAATCTACAATGCCAAGCGTATTGAACAACTGTCTCCCTCTGTTCCATCCCCTGCTGTTTCTCTAATATCCCCTCATCCTTACCCTAG